TCAAGGTTCCTCCAAGCATTTTCTTGATCTAGGAGCTAGGGTTTTGAACTTCAAAGAAGTACATCTTGCTCATATTTTGGTATTTTTGAGTGACTCCAAAGAAATCCTTCTCTTAAAAGGGTTATTAACAAATAACTTCAAAAGTTTTAAGGAGTTTTAAGGAGTTTTACGGGTATAATCAAATAAGAATGACTCTAGAGGACATGGAAAAAACAACTTTTATCGCACCCTGGGGAACATTCTTTTACAAAGTGATGCCCTTCAGGTTGAAGAACACTGGTGCAACGTACCAGAAGGCTATGACAACCCTATTCCATTATCTGATGCACAAGGAAATTGAGGTATATGTTGATGATATGATTGCTAAATCCCAGACTGAAGAAGGGCATGTAGAAGATTTGTTGAAGTTGTTTCAGCGTTTGAGGAAGTATCGTCTCCGCTTGAATCCAAATAAATGTACCTTCGGTGTTCAATCAGGGAAATTTTTGGGTTTCATTGTTAGCCAGAAAGGAATTGAATTTGACCCTGATAAAGTCAAAGAAATTCAAGAAATGCCAGCATCGAGAACTGAAAAACAAGTCAGAGGGTTCCTCGGGCGTTTGAATTATATTTCCAGATTCATTTCCCACATGACTGCAACGTGTGAACCGATCTTTAAATTGTTAAAGAAAGATAAAGGTTGTATATGGATGGATGACTACCAAAGGGAATTTGAAATTATTAAAGAATACCTGCTTGAACCTTATATCTTGCTCCCTCCTATTGAAGGAAGACCGTTAATTATGTATCTGACAGTGTTAGATAATTCCATGGGCTGTATTCTGGGACAACAAGATGAAACAGAGAATAAAGAATATGCCATTTATTATCTCAGTAAAAAGTTGATTGATTATGAGTCATGGTATTCCATGCTGGAAAAGACATGTTGTGCTCTGGCCTGGGCGGTAAAATGTTTGCGGCAATATATGTTGAATTACACTACTTAGTTGATCTCCAAAATGGATCCAATCAAGTACATTTTTGAAAAGCCTGCTCTTACTGGGAGATTTTCCCGCTGGAAGATGCTGTTATCTGAATATAACATCGAATACCACACTCAAAAAGCTATTAAAAGCAGCATGTTGGCAGATTATCTTGCTCACCAACCAGTCGATGATTATCAGTCTGTGAAGTATGATTTCCCCGATGAGGATGTGATGTTTTTGAAAGTGAAAGATTGTGAAGAACCATTGCCCGAGGAAGGTCCTGATCCCGAATATCGTTGGAGTATGATATTTGATGGAGCTGCGAATGCTTATGGTAAAGGAATTAGTGTTGTAATTGTCACTCCACATGGATCACACATTCCTTTTACTGCAAGGTTGATGTTTGATTGTACTAATAATATGGCAGAATATGAGGCTTGCATCATGGGTCTCGAGGAAGCTATTGATCTCAGAATTAAAATTCTAGATGTATATGGCGATTCAGCTTTGGTAATAAATCAGATTAAAAGAGAGTGGGATACTCGTCACCCCGGCTTGATCCCTTACAAAGATTATGCTAGAAGATTGTTACCCTTCTTTAATAAACTTGAATTCCATCACATTCCTAGAGATGAAAATCAAATGGCGGACGCTCTGGCAACTCTGGCTTCTATGTATCAAGTGAATACTTGGAATGATATACCTCGAATTGTAGTTCGACGACTGGATAGGCCCGCTCATGTTTTTACAACAGAGGAGGTAGAAAATGAAAAATCATGGTATTATGATATCAAACATTTTCTCCAAACTCAGGAATATCCGATTGGTGCATCAAATAAAGATAGAAAGACATTGAGAAGATTGGCTGGAAGTTTCTTCCTCAGTGAAAATGTGTTTTATAAGAGAAATTATGACATGGTCTTGCTTAGATGCGTGGATAGACACGAAGCGGACATGTTGATGCATGAGATTCATGAAGGTTCATTTGGCACTCATGCCAATGGATATTCGATGGATAAAAAGATGCTAAGGGCAGGTTACTATTGGCTGACAATGGAATATGATTGTTATAAATTTGCAAAGAAGTGTCATAAATTCCAGATTTATGCGGACAAGGTTCATGTGCCTCCAACACTTCTTAATGTGATCTCTTCCCCATGGCCTTTCTCTATGTGGGGGTATTGACATGATTGGGATGATAGAACCCAAAGCTTCGAATGGACACCATTTCTTCTTGGTAGCAATTGATTACTTCACCAAATGGGTGGAAGCTGCTTCATATACTAATGTTACTAAGCAAGTGGTTGTGCGCTTCATTAAGAATAATCTTATATGTCAGTATGGTGTGCCGAGCATAATTATCACTAACAATGGCTCGAATTTGAACAACAAGATGATGACAAAACTTTGTTAGGAATTCAAGATTATACATCACAATTCATCTCCGTACAGATCGAAGATGAATGGGGCTGTTGAAGCTGCTAATAAAAATATCAAGAAGATTATCCAAAAGATGGTTGTTACTTATAAGGATTGGCATGAAATGCTCCATTTTGCTTTGCATGGCTATCAGACATCTGTCTACACTTCAACAGGAGTAACCTTGTTCTCCATTGTGTATGGAATGGAAGGGGTACTCCCAATCAAGTTTGAGATTCCCTCTTTGCGTGTGATAATGGAAACCAAGTTGTCAGAGGCTGAATGGGTCCAGAAAAGGTTTGACCAATTGAATTTGATCGAAGAGAAGAGAATGACAGCTTTGTGTCATGGACAGTTATATCAGAAGAGAATGAAGGAAGCTTTTGATAAAAAGGTTAAACCTCGTGAATTCAGAGAAGGCGACCTCGTGCTCAGGAAGATCATGTCTTTTAACGCTGATTCTAGGGGCAAGTGGACTCCCAATTTTGAAGGCCTATATGTTGTCAAGAAAGCCTTCTCTGGAGGTGCATTAATTCTTGAAACTATGGATGGCGAGGAGTTCCCACGTCCCATGAATGCTGATGCAGTCAAGAAATACTTTGCCTAAATAAATAAAAGAATAGCTCGCTAAGTTAAAAACCCGAAAGAGCGACTTAGGCAAAAAAGAGTGTCTCGGTAGGCCGAAAATCCAAAAGGGCGGTCTAGGAAAAAATTAGAGACATAAACAGAATATAATTTCCCGCTAAGTTGAAAACCCGCAAGGGAAGCTTAGGCAAAAGTTAGGGACTTTCTTGGCAAGTAACTACATCAGACAAGACTTAATCATTGAAGCAACAATCGTCTTGGATCCTCATCATACTTCAACGGAAGTTGCTGCTCAGGATTTCAAAAGTTGTTAGAAGGGATAATGGTCATTGTATCTCAATGTATCTTTTCCATTATATATTACCATTTTCCGAACTTTGTAATCATCCATGGAGTCTCGCCATTCGCAGGCTACCATTCTATTAATGAAATTTGAGCTTTTATCCAATTCTTTGTATTTCTTATTTTATTTAGCTTGCAAAAACTCCATTTATTATTGATAATAACTTTCAAAGCAAAAAAGATTAAATAACAAAATTGATTTTCAAAAAGATTTACAATTTGCATTTACTTTAGAATTTGTGATGCAAGAGAAAAACGAAAATGGTGATCCCAGGAATGGACGAATTCCAGTTGTTTTGAGAAGTTTTATTTCCCCCGGGAAGGTTTACTCAAGATGTTTTTGCTATATTGGGTTTGTGACTCCAATGTCCCCAGTCAAGTCTTGGTTCGTTTTCTTTCTTCTTTTCTGAGTTTGCATGATGTGAAGACTCAATCCAAGATTTCTCCAATGAAGGTTTCATTTGTGTAATAGAAGTTCTTTCTTCCCAGAGAAATTGGTACAATAATTACTCTCGAAGAACACATGTCTCAGGTTTCTCCAGTGAAGAACGTATATTGGTTTTCCCTTTGAGAATGTGGTGTTAACCTCCCCAATGAAGTCAGCACGAAATCCCCAGTTAATGTCTTGATGGTGGGACATTATATGCCTTAGTGAAGTTTGTGTGTTTTTCCTCCTTCAAAGTGGGCCTGAATTCCCCAGTGAATGTTTTGATGATTTGGTCTCCTTCTGCTTTACTTGAAATTGATTTTTGCAATGCCTAGTAAAAGCGTTATATTTGAAAACATTTACTTCCCCGTTAAAGTATGAATGCTACTTCTTGGTGAAGCCCGGAGAAAGATGTTATATCTCTGTATCTGTATTGTTTCATCACTATACTACGTTTCTCCCCGGTAAAATTAAGACATGCAATAAGATTTTGTTTCCTCAGTTGACGCTTACTTTTTCTTGGAATGTTCATCTTGGATGTGATTTAGCCGAGTGTTGTTTGTGCCCGAGTTGGTTTTACCTAGTTACTCCCAGTGTTATATGTCTGTTTTGTCAGCATATACATAATAACACTCATACATACATCATACATAGTTGATCAAAGAACTTTTTCATTTATTTTCAGCTCAGCACGTCAAAATGATTTTCATCTAGGAAAATACTTCAGTCCGAACATTATCTAAAGCAAATAAATATGCTCATCAGAGTATCAATTATATAAAATATATTTTATTGTTATCATCAAAACTTTGAGATATGATCAGAACCAATCTTGTTCTAACAGTGTTTGCATTGAAGCTGTAGATTTGAGAAAATTTTCATCTTTTTAATTCTTATTTGTAAGTTAGTTTGCTTTGTGATTTGCAGTTGTTATCGTTATTTTGTCTTAATTTCCTATCAGAAAAAACAAAACAAAAAATTGAAAAAAAATCACACAAAAGCCTAAGGTTTTGGGGAAGGAACACGGTGAGCTTCTAGAGAAAAGGAAAACACTCTCTTTCAAAGCACATGAGAAAAATTCATTTCCAACACTTTTACAAAACTCCATAACATAGTCCAAAATTCAATTTGGACCACAACTACCAAAAATTACCTAAACAAATTAAGAAATTGGACACAAGAATAACATTGTCGAAAAAATATGAAGAGGACATCAAATTTAAATCCAACAATCAAATTATTTTATAAGCTATTTTCCATAATTACAACCTAGTAGATCTTATAAAGTGAATCAATCATGAAAGTTGTCGTGAGAAGAACCAGAAGGACTCACACTCTTGAATGCCAACTCAGCCAGATTCATAGATGATCTAAGAAACTCATCTTTCCTATTCACCATAACATCATTCACCATTTTCTCCACTACATTCCTATCACAAACATCCTTCATATCCAAACCAATTTTCCAAACCTCACTCACAAATCTACTATTAACCTGTTGATCAGCAAAGTAAGGCCAACAAATCATAGGCACACCACAAACCACACTCTCCAAAGTTGAATTCCATCCACTATGTGTCAAAAAAGCACCAATTGCCTTGTGAGCCAATACCTCATCTTGTGGAACCCACCCCACAATCAACCCTTGTTCCTTACTAGTCCCTTCCTCAAGTTCCTTCAACAGTCCTTTTTCTTGTACCATGTTTGGCCTAATAACCCACAAAAACTGTTTTTTGCTGTTCAATAATCCATGCCAAATCTCAATGATCTCTTCTTTCTTCATTGGTGTAATACTACCAAAGCTAACATATATAACTTATTTCAACCGTTGTGATTCGAGCCACGCCATGCATGTTCTATCCACTTCAAAGAAACTACTCTTAAAAGATGATGTTTTCTTGGTAATGTTGAGGTGGTGGTGAAGAGGGCCAATGGTGTATACGGGTTTGAGGTAGTGAAGACGAATTTGGGAGAGGCTTGTGGCTTCTAGATCTTCAAATGTGTTCATTATGAAAAGGTTTACCATACAAACTCAACGAAACAATTACATCTCCTATCCTATCTCCAAATCCGGGATGTTCATCTTCATTATGAAAATCCGGAATAGTCTTGAATTGAAGCATAGGGTAACATTCTGAAAGAGCTTGAATATCATCGTTGAAACTAATGAGACGGTTGTGGATGTACTCAGTGTTGAGGAATGTTATGTGGAGATTTTGAATTACAAGAAGTTCAGCTAGCTTTAGCATGGAATTTACATGGCCTTGTGCTGGACAAGAAAAGATTAGCACATGTGGAGTGGATTGTGTTTCCATGGATTTTTTCAACAATCTTAATTTTGTGACCTACAACGTTAATTCTTGTATCTAGTTATTGTTGCGTGCTTCATAACGTAGAATTGTGATAATATTTGTGTGGTGCAAGGTGACTTGGATTATTAATTTTTATACATATATCAGTGAACTAGAAAATTTTGGCAATTCCAAACACACTACACCGTGAAAAGGATTCGACAGCATTATATTATGACCACAGACTCCACCAAATTTTTTTATTTTTATTTATTTATTTTAATTATTTAAATAATACAATTACATATTAAAAATATTTATGTAATACACCAAACAAAACTTATGTAATTCATCAGACAAAAATCATATACACTTAATCAAGGAAACTCCAAGTTCTAAAGCGGAGAGTTTAGAGAGCTTACTTAATAGAAATTCTTAGTCCCTCAATCGAAGTTATATTGAGTCTGCCTGATGAGATTATAAGTCTTTCAGGAGAAGTTATATTGAGCCTAACCGATGAGACTATACGTTACTCAGGAGAGACATTAGACCTTTCAAGCGGGACTTCTATTAAACTCTCAAACAAGACTTTAAACTAAGTTTTTTAGACTAGACATCAATCGTGCCTCCTGGGCGACATTTTTATGTTGGGTCCTACATGAGGAAACTCCAACTCTCTTAGGCGGAGAGTTTTAGATAGCCTACTTAATAGGCAATCTCAATCTCTCAGGCAAATATATATTAAGTCTAACTAATGAGACAATAAATCCCTTAGACAAGACGTTGAAACTCTCGAGTGGGACTTCTATCAAGCCCTCAAACAAGACTTTATACTAACTTCCTTAGGCTAGAATTCAGTCGCTCCTCCTGAACGAGATTTATATGTTAGGTCTCCCTCAAGAAAAATCCAAGTTTCTCAGGCGGGGAGTTTTAGATAGCCTGGTTAATGGAAAATCTCAATCCCTCAGACAAAGTTATATTGAACCTGATTGATTAGACTATAAGTATCCAAGGTGAAGTTATATTGAGCTTGGCTAATGAGACTATAAATCCCTCGGGTGAGGGGTTATACCACTCGGACAGGACTTCTATCAAGACCTCAGGCAAGACTTAAACTAAGTCTCTTAAACAAGACTTCAGTCGCGCTTCCTGAGAGAGATTTATATGTTTGGTCCTGCACAAGGAAAGCCTAGGTCTTTGTGGCGGTGAGTTTTAAATAGTCTTCTTAATAAGAAATCTTTATTTCTTAGGTATAGTTATATTGAGCCTATCTGATGAGACTACAAGTCCCTCCGGCGAGGCGTTGGACCTCTCAGGCAAGACTTCTATTAAGCCCTCAGATACTATTTTAAACTAAGTCTCTTAGGCTAGACATCAGTCACGCCTCCCGAGAGAGATTTATTTGTTGGGTCCCACACGAGGAAACTCCAAGTCTCTCAGCGGAGGAGTTTTATATAGCATGCTTAATGGGAAATTGTGGTTCCTCAAGTGTAGTTATATTCATTATAGTTGATGAGACAATAAGTCCCCTAGGATAAGTTATATTGAGTTTGGCTAATATGACTATAAGTCTCTCAAGCGAGGCGTTGAACCTCTTAAGTGAGACTTATGTTAAGACTTAAGGAAAGACATAAACTAAGTCTCTTAAGCTAGACTTCAATGCGCCTCCTAGGAGAGATTTATATTTTGGGTCTCGGTCGAGGAAACTCCAAGTCTCTCAAGCATAGATTTTCAGATAGCTTGCTTAATGGGAAATTTATATTGATCCTATAAGTCCCCCAGGTGAAGTTATATTGAGTCTGGCTGTTGAGACTATAAGTCCCTCAGGCTAGGTGTGATACGGTGGCAGAACCAACTGTTAATACTGGTTTGCATTTTGTATTCGCAAATGTTGCGGTAAGCAAGAGTCGCCACTGACTTTTATTTCATCCAACAAAGGAAAAGGAAAAAGAACAGAAAAAACCTTTTTTCGAGATGTTTCTGAGTACGGGGGGTAGATTATAGAAAGGGAAGGTGTTAGCACCCTTTCTATCCATAGTTTTCCACGAGCTCTTAGGTACTTGCTCATTTTTTAAATTGCTTGTGCGTGCTTGTTTTGAAAAAGTTTTGTTTACTTCGTGATAACCCTTGTATCGATCCTCAAGAGTGTGACGAAGTTGTTTTGAAAACTATTTTTGAAACGGTGTCTGTGTGAAAAGTTTTTGTTTTGAGCAAGTACTTAAGATTTCTACCTACTCGAAAAAAGTATGTTCGTTTTCGTTTCCTTTAGACAGTATTATCCTACTATTAAGGAGTAGGTAGCTACGTCGTTGGATTTTTAAAGGGACGTTCGAAGGGACAAAATGGTCTCAGAAGGCAACAAGTAAGGATACCTTAGCATTTCGAAGGGACTATCGTCATAAGATCAATTCGTAGGCAACTCGAGGGACAATGAGGGACTATGATCTTTATGACAACTTTTAGATTGAGAGTCTTTTGCTAAGATATCCCTACGTTCGAGGGATATGACCATTGTTTTCCGAGGCAACCAAGTGGGGAGTACCCTAGGGGTGCAAGTGTGCAACAATGTGTTTTTTCAGTTATATTTATCTTGCAATTAGGGTTTTCTATCGTTCATTTTTTTCTTTTCATGCAATCCTATTAATCTAAGCATTGCATAAAATATAGTAGCAGAAGATAAAGGCGGAAATTTAAACCTAAGCTATTACAGAGCTTTGGGGCAGTTAGATAATAATGAAGAATACGGAAAAGAAATCCTAAAACTATTACATCCCGGAAGCAATTACATGATAATGATGGAAAAATAACGGGAAAAATAAAGCTACGCTATTACAGTTGAACGCGCTCTATACACTTTATCTAGGAAAATAAAAATAAGATGAAAATAACAAAGAAAATGTTTTGGTGATTTTTTATGAAAGAAATGATTTATGATAATTAATTAAATAAACCTAAAAAACCTAATTAATTTTAATTAATAAAAAAATATTAATTTTGAAAAAAGTTAATTAAAATACCTAAAACCTAATTAGTTCGAATTAAAAAAAAAGTTAGTTTTGAAAAAAAGGTTAATTAAAAAAAACCTAAAAACCTAATTAATTGAAAAAAAAGGTTTTAAAAAAAAGTTTATGTGTAATGATTAACAAGAAAGAATTATGTTTGCCAAAAAATAGATAGGGGAAGAAACATAAATGGAAAATAAAGTTAGAAAATACAAATAATGTAAATGTCAAGGGTGGGTGTTGAACCAAAAATTAATTTAAAACCTAAAATTAAAAAAACCTAAAATTAATTATTCGAGTTTATTATGAAAAATCAAAAGTTTGTGAAAAATGTTAAGTTTTATGAAAAAGGTTTTAAACAGAAAGAATGAAAATAGATAAAAGGATAAATAAAATGGAAGAAAACCAAAACCAATAGGGGTGGGTGTTGAACCCACGCCCTTAACCTTCTCAGGATGTCTGTCTCGCCATGCATTGATGGTTGTACTGTTTTGGCCTCATCATTTTATGCATTGATGGTTGTTCTGTTTTGGCCTCAGTGTTTTGTAATAACCCTGCATGGGACCATTACGATGGTCCAAACCTGTAATATTGAATCTCATGAACACATTAAGAAAATTAGTATACCATGAAATACAAAGAAAAAAATATATATGAAATTTTATAATGTTAAAACCGATACGACATGTATGAATGCTTCTACACCATTTTGATCATAGAGATCAAACCAGCCTTATCCTTACTAGAGAAGTAGTGAAAGTAGTGAGACGTGGGTTTGTAACGAGGGTGGCTTCTTTGTAGTAAGATGGGGGTTTGTAACAAGGATTTTAAGGTTTTTACAGTTCTTGAAGAAATTTGATATTTTGACAGGGTTGTGGCAAAGGTTTTTTTCTTCCTGTTTGTGTGAAAAGAATGAGATTATATAATGGAAATTAGAGCAAAGATATGGGCTTTGAATGTGCAATTGGGTCTCCAATAACCACAATCAATCGTGCAGATTTTTATTCACTTGAGTCTGTCACGTACCAGGCTAAATTGCAGGGGCTTAAATGCAATTATTAAAGTTGAAATGTAAAAACAAAATGTAGCCGGCATCAAGAACTAACTCCTGTCCGAAAATGGGCTCAATCAGGTAAACGGTGAATTAGTTATGAATTTTTGAAGTTTCGCCTCAGACAAACTTATTTTGGGCTCCAGTGTCAACTCTGACACGTTCTTCAATAAAAAAACTGGTATTGATCAGAGAAGAATCCCGTCTCGACTTTGGAAGAAAAGTTGTAGATCTCTGAGTCTGTGAACTTGTGTAAAAAGATGGACCCGGTCCGATAAAAATTGACCGAGATGAATTTTCGAAGTTTTGACCCTGATGAAATAATATTCAGCATTCAGGATTTTCGGCGCGTCACACGCACTCTGCGCAAAAAAAGAAGGCCTTTTGGATACTGTTCAAACTTGATATCTCTTGTGAAAATGTATCCAACTCAATTTTTGAAATTTTGGCGCCGAAACCAGCTCAATACGATGAAAATCGACCAAGTTATGATATTCTGAACATGACGCAAATAAACTTAAGTCACAAATTTTCTGTATAAAAATACTTGATAAATCCGCATTTTTGAAGACCTTCTGTTCGAAATTGGCTTCCATCCGTGAGAGATGAAAATGTAGATGACGTCAAGACGGAATTTTGGCCACCCAAACAGGTTCAAAACGAGCCACGATATTCAAGTTATGAATTTTTAGTGCGTAAAAACTACACTTTCAGCACACTTTTTGACCATATTTCTTCGAGAAAACTCACACATTTGGAGACCTTCTTTAAAGAATTGGCTCTCAAGCCGAACCTGAATTTGAGAATATGTTATCAGAGATATATTGGCGAAATAACACCTGAATATGACGCGCTGGGTTGGACTTGTGAATCTTTGAACCCCGAATCGTTGCAAAACGTCGAACCGATCTTCAGCATGGAAAATACTCTGAGAACATCCATTGGCGAAATAAACGTCACTTGTAACCCGA